GGTTGTCATGTTTGTCACTCTTGGGCCGTGGTTTTATCTTTACTTGAAAAGTATTTAAAAATAAACGTGCATTACAAATATTAAGTAAGACATTTTCATGTCGGAATTAGATATGCATACATACACATAAGAACAGCAGGAAAATTAAGGAACCAGTTCTCTTTACGAATTAGAATTTGGTCATGACTTTTTTGGATCAAAATAGTCTAATCTTAACGGGCACATAGAGACATAGACCACCTAATAGTACGACTGGGATCCGTTTTCAAAAACTATAGGTCATCAATGGCCTAAGACAGGACCCAACCTAAAACTCATGCTAATTCTATCACGGTCAATGACATTAATGGCTAATTATTTGATCACTCGTGTAATGACCAGTAATTCATTTACATAAAAATAGGTAAGAATTCTTATAAATATATTTTATGGCTAATTATTTTAATATTTTTTATTAAATTCTTCTCCTTATTTCCTTTCAAACAAGTAAACACAGAAAAAGGGAAACCGTTTGGAAAACGCAGTAGCCATGAAACGCTGAGGATTTGAAGGATGTGGACGTGTTTTGCGTAATTGGAAGGTTTGTATGAGTCTAGAAGTGATTGGAAAGGAGACCTAAACGAGGAGAGCTGAGCTACCTATGACTTTGAGCTTAATATTTGGTGGTGTATATTGCATCATAAAATTTTAAATGAGGAGAGATAACAAGCCTACCAACAGAATTGACATGGAAGGAATTTATGAAAAAGATTTGGAAAATCGTAGAGAAGCGCGAGGTTGAAGATGATAGGCGCATGGGGTTCACATAAGTGTGGTGCCACGGTTATGCTTGTCCAAAGCATGTTGCCTGTGGCGGCTTGTTGAATGTTCCAGTCATGCTTGTCTAGGACATGTTGTCCATGGTCGCATGTTCATTCTAGACTCTTTTTACTTGCTTTCATATGTAATTAGGTCTTTACTATTCCTGTCATGTTAATACACGGGGTGTATGACAGTTCACCAAAATCATGTCTGCCTCAAAATGTTCTATAGGAGGTGTGACTAGTCGTCAATTCTTCCTACTCGAGTTATACTATCAAAGTTGTTGTTGCTGCTTATTTGCTTTTACCCTATAACATTGTTTTCTTACAAAAAAAAAAAAAAAAAAAAAGAAGTTTTAATGCCTTTCTTCGCTCACGTTTTCTAAACTACTTTCTCTTAAACGTAATCGAAGCTCGGTCGTATGTCTGAACTATTTGCGACATATAATTTTTATACAGCTGACTTGTTCGCTGGGTTTGAACAATTGTCGCACAATCGTTATCCCCCTTCTCCAACAGTGTGTTTGTGACAAGTGGTACGAGAGCTAAGTTAGCTCCTTAAATCGTGTTAAACAAACATGTCTTCTACAAAACTACGGTACAAGTCCTAGGCTGGCTAGCCAGATTGAAGATCATTTCTTCTACCTAAGTAAAGTTCTTAATGGAATGAGGCTTTTGGTGTCTCGCATGAACGAAATTGCCACTAAAGTTGATAAGAATGGCAGGCCTTCTTGAGACAATGCCCGTACGTAAATTAATGGTTAGGGTAAAGACCCTAGAAGACAATGCCACAACTGCTTGTGGCATTGAGCGGGTGGATAGTTTGATGGGCTCTACTGCCCAGATGAAAGAACTATCGAGGGCTTAGACAATGGCAAACAGGTGTTCATTTAGATGGTTTCACAAATGTCTTAGGACTAAAGAGCAGCCCTTGGAGTAGTCAAAGCTGAAGTGACGGATTTGAGGCCCAAGCTAAACCTCACCATGAGAGCAATAGGAAACCAAACTCTAACCGAGGAGTGGTCCAATTTAACAAGGTGAAATTCTCGGAGCCTAAGCCCTTCTGTGGGGCTCAAGATGCTAAGGTTTTGGACAATTTTATATTTGACCTTGAACAGTACTTTCAAGCCATAAATATTGTGGTAGAAGAGGCAAAGGTCACGTTGGCCACAATGTATCTAGCTGACGATGCAAGGTTGTCACAAATGTGACTTTGGGCTGACTCGATGGTGTAAAAAAATGGAAAAAAATTGCAAAATAAAACAAAGATAATTTAAAATATAATATACAATATATTTATATTATATCAAAATAGAGTTCATAGATTAGTCAAAACACAAAAAAAATATTTAGAAACAAGAGAGGGTGAGGACAACAGGTGAGGCTTGTCTATGTCACTTGCTCCAAAGTTTGCTCCCAACCTTGACTAGCTTCTTATTTACCTAAAAATCATGGAGTGAGTACGAAGACTCGGTAAGTAGCCTATTTGTAGGCTCTTAATCGTGTCTTTGATATACTAGGGTACCACACTTCTTCTTAACTTCTTTTGGTTCTTGCTACAAGTACTTAGGCCCTTTGGTTCTATTATGTTCTTGACTTATGAGTTCTTATCATGAACTATTATGAGGAACTCGGTCCTTGAATTATGAGATCTGAGCTTTGATTATGATCTAAGGGCCTTAGTACTGTGGTTTTGAGTTCTTGTCTTCAGAATTTGGATCTTGATCCATGTTCTAATTCTTGATCGTTGTCTCGTTCTTGGTTATTGTCTATGTTCTTGTTCTGTTCATGGTTTTTTCTCCAAGACACTTCCCTAGGATTTACGGTACAAGTCATGAACCTGACAACTTGTGTCCAAGGCTTCATACGTTCCAAGCGACACAGTCTGAACCTATGTCTAAGGCTTCATGTATTCCAAGCGACGTAGTCTGAACTTGAGTGGTACCTAGCATTCTTCTTATCTTAATAGATGTAGAGCTTGTGTGGTAATTTTTCTTGGGTCTCAATCTTAAAACATTTTATAAATTTTCTAAGGTTCGTAATTTATGGATGTATAAATTGTAACATGCATTCTTAAGCTTCACATAACTTACAATAACATGCTTGAGTCATTTAAAGTGTCATGAAGTCATAATGTGTTGTTTAGAAAATTCTTGAAGAGTCTCGATCTTGGGTAAGAGTTTATTTCCTTTAAACATTTCGTAGGCCCTAACTTGATTTAGGTTCCAAACTTGCTCTGATCAACTTGAATTTTTTAATATCTTTTATGTCCTTATCAATAGGCTTTACAAAAAGTAGCCACGGATTTTGAGGATATTTAGAGTTTGAAATATCTTTAAAATGAACATGTTTGAATGATTTTCAAACTTTACCAAGTCATCGGTCATCATAAAGTAAGACCTATTACCAAGTTTCATAGCATTTGGAGGTCATTTAGAACATGAACCAAGGATAAATTACTGTACGAGTATTATGGTCATTTAGCACCGTTACTTGGTTTAGCTACTTAACTTTGTCTAAATTTCATGTATAATCGTAACATCCCATAATATTATTAGCATTAAAGTTTCATGGGCTCTTGATATTTAAAGTTTAGTGGATCATATTAGCATTAAAGTTTCATGGGCTCTTCATTTAGTGGATCATATTAACGCTACTTAAAGTTTGAGCAAATCGATCAATTCAGGGTCTTAACTCACGGCTCTTGATATTTTTCTTTCATATTTCCTTAATCCATACTCATTTTAGGGTTTATACAAAAATCCAAGTGATTTCTACAAGTATTTATTAAGAAAAGTCCAAGATGGGTACTTACTTTGTCGTCAACGTTCGGGACCTCCATTCTCGAGCTATAGTTTGACATGAAAGGAAAGAAGACGTGCATGACTGTTATTGTCGCCGCCTGAAAACTCGCGTCTCCAACGTCTTCTACTGCGTTTTTAGGCTTATTAAACAAAAAAGTTAAAAATATAGAGAAATATTAGACAAAATTAAAACATTATAAACTTATTAAACTAACATAAACAAGGAAGTTGAAGAATATTATATTCACCTTGTTGTTTTGAAATAGCTTGTTTGGGTTGTAATGAAAATAATTGTTGATCCCTTAATATTGAATTATATATGTAAAATAATTATTTACCATGAATGCAGTTTTGGTAAAACCATCCTCTCCCAGCTGACTCACTCCACTGCCAGTAATTGCACGCAACGGTAGGTTGGTTGGGTGGTTCCCTCTATTTAATTCAAATATATCACATTTTTCTTCCTATTTTCCATTACTTTTTACCCTCACACCTCAACCCCTGTCCCATTTTTCGGTACCAACTTCTCCATTAATCTTATAAAATAATTGTCTGACTTTATTATTCAATTTGAATTTGAACTATTAAATCCAAATCGTCAAGGTTGTGTTGAGTTGTGAGCTCTCTTCGAATTGCTCGGGTTACCGGCCTAACCAACAAAAAATTTTAGATTGGTCCAAAAGCTTTGCCTGTGTACACCCCTAGTTTAATTCTCGATAAATAAATAGTCGTTATGATTTGAACTCATTCCATCTAATAACCTCTCAACCGACTTATATGATTCATTTGAACTTGGACAGAAAAAACAAGACATTTAGATTTTTAGATTTATTTATCATAATAATTTTTTTAATGTGAATAAATTAAAAGAACATTAAAACTTATTTATTGAATCGAATCATCGTTGATAATTATATCTGTACCTGCACAAATGTTATAAGCTCATACGTTTGTCTATGAAATTATTGAAGATGTATATAAATTGGCACTCTTACAATAATTAAGATATTATATCTTTTTGAAAATAGGTCTATGCATGACAATGGTGTCCATTATTTATGTCATTGTATAGTTGAATAAGTTTTAATGTTGGTACGATAGCGGTAGGTCATGAACCACCGTGGAAATTAAACACGAAGTTCATTTATTACGTTCTTACAAACTAATTCTTGAAATTCAATTTAAAAAAATTCAAGGAAAACTACCACCGATCATATAAACTTTGAATTCTCATTTTGCCAAACGTTTTAAGAAAGTAAATGTCGTATTATTGATCTACCTAAACTCGTTCGAAATATAAAATGAAACTCGGCACCAAATTACGTAAATGCCCTCATCGTTTTCCTATAAAATGAGCTTCCACATCCTCCATTTTCTTCAAATTTGTCTTACGACAATGACAAGAAACACAAATCTAAGAACGGTCTTGTTGTTCTTCTTCTTCTTCTCTTATTGTGAAGGAGGAAGAGAAATAAGAAAGGGCAATGGAGGGATGATAAAGGGAATGTTTGTGTTTGGGAGCTCTCTAGTTGACAATGGCAACAATAACTTTTTAGAGAACTCAAGGGCCAAAGCTGACTTTTTACCTTACGGAATGGATTTTTCTCTCGGTCCGTTGGGACGATTTACGAACGGCAAGAATGTTATCGACCTTCTCGGAGATTATTTTCACCTTCCTTCTCCCATTCCTCCGTTCACTGATCCTTCAACGAAGGGGAAGAAGATTGTTCATGGCGTCAACTATGCTTCTGGTGGTTCTGGTATTCTAGATAACACCGGTGCCATCACGGTAAGATACAAAAACTCACGCTTAGCAATGAAAACACGTAAACCAATCTTGTTTTGTTTGCGTTGCGTAGGGAAATGTAATAAGTTTGAACAGACAAATCAAAAACTTTGAAACCGTGACGTTGCCTGAATTGAGAAGAGGTATGAGGACGAGGGTATCGTTAGACGAGTATTTGTTTGTGGTTGGATCGGGAGGGAACGATTACTCATTCAACTACTTTTTGAGTAACCTCCACTCGGAACTCAGCCTCGACTCGTTCACAGCCAACCTCACAGCCACATTGTCTCAACAACTCAAAGTGGGTTGGTTTCGTTTGTGATTCAAGCCACAAATTTGAACCACATTCTTTGTTTATGTCAATTAATATTGTGTTGATTTGATCCACAGAAGCTGTATGGTTTGGGAGCAAGGAAAATAGTGTTGATATCAGTGAACCCATTAGGGTGCAGTCCAATGGTGAGAGCAAATAACAAAGGACAATGCCTTGATATACTAAACCAAGCTGCTCAAATGTTCAATCTCAACTTGAAGACATTGGTGGATGACCTAAAACCACAAATGCCACTCTCCAATCTCGTCTTCCTTAATTCGTACAAGATTATCGATGATATTATCTCTCACCATATTTCTAAAGGTACCCGACATATTTATCTTTTCTACTCTACTTTTGTCCTTTTCGCTCTACTAGCTTACGTTCAAGTTCGGATTTGATTGTTAAGCTCATTAATAGCTTACAAACATGGCTAAAATTTATTTAGAGGGTCAATCATGAAACCATTCTACTTATAGTATTACTAACCATAAGAAAGTTAACTATCGGACATTAAAGCCATAAGATCTAATAATGATTTTATTATTATTATGAACTTGATATTTATTTTCAAATATCAAATAATTAATTGTGTGATTTTATTATTATTATGAACTTGATATTTATTTTCAAATATCAAATAATTAATTGTGTTTGGTAAAAGAGAAACAAATAGTGTGGGACAACGATCATTGATAGCATTGATAAAGCGTACCTAAATTTTATTATTTGAAGGATACGGTTCCCTAATATTTAAGTCCATTTACGATTGGTAGGACACTTCATTAATCTTTAAAGTTCATATCATAAATGTGGCATTTAGGGTAATCTCTATTTTACTTGTTCTTGCACTCATTTTATTCTCACATTTAAGCATTAAAAGGGATTTACCGCCACTAAACATTTTTTACCAAAAGAAGAAATTTGGTTAAAAACATGTGCAAACATACCTTCCTTTCAACATATGGTGGATGGTTTTCAGGGTTTATGGAGGCAGCTGTGCCCTGCTGTGAAGTGCCATCTCTGAGTGAAGGTGGGAATGGAGTTTTGTGCAAAAATGGAGGCCAAACTTGTCCAAATAGAACCAACCATGTCTTCTTCGACGGGTTACATCCAACCGAAGCTGTCAACGTCCTCATAGCATCTAAGGCTTATGCTTCTCAACTTCAAACCGAAGTTTATCCCACTAATCTTTTTCACCTCGTCAATCTATAGATTCCGACATGTAGAGTAGAGTAGAGTAGAGAGATTTGAACCTCTGACCTCTTAGTTAAAAGTATGTCTTCACTAATTGAGTTACGCTCAATTTGAGAATCTCGCTCTTTCTCTGTGAGTTGTCAGTGTGTAGTAGTAATAACATTAGAACTTTATTCACCTTTCAAGCTTTGATCGTGTCGTTTCAAAGTCCAACAATCTATCTCACGTTTTTCCTTGGACAAGAGAAATGAGTGAAAAACTACCCACAAAAGCATATTACATCTTCCATCCGCAGGCTCTGATCTACTGTACAAAATAATGTTATCAGAGGTGTAAGGCCTAAAAGTAAGAAGAGAGGGGAAGAAGCTGTGTTTCCAATACCAGTTACCTATTTAGGAACAAAGTAAAGTGTTACAAAGAACATACTACGTTACACACGCCCTACCCGTTCTTCAATCTCAAGCGGCCGAGCGAGAAAGAAAATGGAACTTTGGTGTACCACTCTACCAAATAACTCATTAAAACAATGTGAGAAAAGTAAGTATACGCAGATTTCTCCCAGAATTTGGATGCATTTGTTTTCGTGTGCAATGGAGAGAGCCAATAATACCTTTCATCTCATGTGAAATGGTCTTGTTTGAGGATTGCATCAAAATCTGGCGATGGTATTTCTTCAGATTTCCGTTTCCAGGTATCACCATTTGCTTGGAAATACCATGACACTTGAGGAGACACAGGCAGGTACATCTCTGTAACAAGTAGGCATTGTCTATTGTGTTTAACACGTGTTCGACGCCCAAATAATCGTCTCGTTCATATTCAAGCTTAACAAGTATTAAGAACATATCCATTGTGCTTAACAAGTGTCTACTCGTGTACAATATATATGTTGATCATAGATACTAGTAGCATGTGATTGTATAAAGAACAATTAATAATCTAGCAAAAGATGTCATAAATAACAGACAATGAATCATCACAAACTCTGCATTCGGCCAGTTTTAAGAGTTTCGAATGAAATAAATACCTGAAACAGAGGCGGGATCGGGTGATCTTGTAGCGTGCAAGACCATAGTCCCAGAAAGTATGGTTACAAATCCACAAAGTTCTGATGCAATGCTGCTAGCACTCTGACCAGACCAGTCCTAATGGTATAACAACCACATGAATCAATCTCTTTGAAAAGCCCAAAAGAAATGTTTAAATTTGTAGCAAAAGTACCTTGAACATTATGGCACTGGCGAAGATCGTGAAGGATGTGAACATTGCATAATGAATTGGTGAGACAACTGCGGTGTCAAATGTGTCCAAGGCCTGTTCATGTAAAGATCTTTTCCGGCTTAAGTTTTAAAATAGCCTTAAGGGATGACCATATTCTCTCTCACAATCCCTCTCTCACACTTGAACAGCAGCTGAGCATATTCTACAATTCCGTTCCATAGTCTATATCTAAACGAGTATTCATCTTCTTAATATTTCGCATGGCAACAATAGAGCTCTGGTACCAATTGATACACAACTGGATCGATACTCGACATAATTACATCTAAACGAGTATTCATCTTCTTAATATTTAGCATGACAAAAATAGAGCTCTCGTACCAACTGATACACAACTGGACTGATACTCGACATAATTATTCATCAACATTCAAGTGAAAGTTCCATAAAACTCAAAATTCGAGAGGTTTGGATTCGCCATACGTAAACACACACGAAAGATGATAATAGTCATAACGAAACTATAAATACGTCATAGGGGAGATATGGAGAAGCCACAAATGTACTCTACACCAAACGATTACCGAGCAAAAAAGTTCTACATCCACGAACTCCATAGTTATTATCCCGAAAAGATTTGAACAAAACAGTAGTACACTAACCTTGTTTAAATAATTCAGCTGAACAATTATGCATGAGATTGCAACCATTACAAAGACCCATGTTTGGAAGTGAGCAACCTGACTCAAACCCTCCATTGTGAGTTTTATAGCAATGCCAATAGCCTTGATGCTCATTACCTGCAAACCAATGCAGAAAGATTATAACTGCTTCACAGAAAAAGAAAAATCAACCATGAATCATCAGAACGATTCAGCACGTAAAAGGGTAACGAAGACAGACCGTCAAGGATCCAATTATGGAGCATATCCCAATGTAAATGAGTATATTTGTCTGTCCGTAGCGGGGTTCGCAGTACAACACGAGGAACAACACAATAGCTATAACCGAGGCCGTATAGAGAAGGAAAGCTGAACAAAACACATCAGAATAATCAAAAAGAAGCTCCACGCAGTAAGACACACATCAGGATATGTTTTAGAGTTTACTTTACTTGGTTGAGTAGCTAGTTCCCATATCTCGTCCACTGAACTCGGAGTACGTTCACCAGGCGCATGAAGAACAATCATTGTAGACCCTACAACACATAATACACACCCCAATACATCCATTTTCTCCAATTTTTCCTTCAAGAAAAAATGTGCAAGCACAGCACTGCCAACACAATAAACGCATGAAAATCATTTGGGTAAATCCCATTTTGACATGGAAGCATAAATAAAAAGTGATTACATTCAATCCCAAATCAATATCTCATTGAAGCTTGTTACCTAACAATTATACTGATCGCTCCAAGTGGTGTTACCAGAATAGCAGGAGCATAAACATAAGCCACAAAATTAGAAAATTCTCCAACAATCACTGCAAATGGTACACAGGTAAAAGTAATCAATCAAATGTAGCTTATAAACTGCATGTAAAAACTCGAAAACGCGCTAAAAAGACTTGAAATGCTTGGAGATGGTCTCGGAATTCGAGTGGAGAGGAACAAAAGGATTTTTAAAGAATCTAATAGATCTAGAATGAGGTTTGAGATTTAGTTAAATGTAACTCTGAGTTATGAGCATTCCTTAGAGATAAGTAGGGAGAGTAAAGAGTCCCAAGACAGTTGAAATTGATACTCACTAGTACTCATGCCGATCCACCAAAGTGGCTCTAACAGATATCCATATCCACCAGAACCTAGAATTCATTAACCACACAAAATTTCATCAGCATAAACCCAAAGGAACAATGTGAGCAGCGCAGCCTGCCAATTAGTAACAAAAAGGAGAAACCACAATCTACAACCCTCAATTGCAACCATTGACAACGTAAATGAAACAAATTAATTCTTCGCGAACTGAAAAATTCAATCATGAGAATGACAAAATCGCAAGAAGAACGAGCGCCTCGAACATGTAAATCAACGAAATCAAACCAAGCATACAGGTAAAATGGAAGACGAAATTGAAAGAACCCAGGCAGATGAAAAAATTAATTGGAGAAAAACTGACTCGCTCGAGAGCCGGAAGCCCCGGCCCGACGAAGACCCAACTTCTTGATGATGAAGCTGGAGCCAATAAAGGCGCTGGATAACATAGCAAGAAGGAAACCTTTCAGGTTATCATTGGGCGAGATGAAAGGGTCATGGGGGCTCATGGATTGCTGCAGAGATTCATGTAATTCCAAAAATTTGCAGAAGAAGAAGAAGAAGAAGAAGCAGAGTGGACACGTTTTTTTGTAATGTCAGTACAACACCAAATTCCCACACTATTTCCCCTTGCGGTTCTCTCCCAATCATGACGTTGAATCCATTTGGCTGCCCAGGCAGAATTCATTTCTTAACCCAAATTATATGAACACAAATATTCAAAACTTTTCATCATTAGATTTTGAGGTATAATTTTGGATCATTATGCCCACATTTTCGTTTCTCTCTCCTTAAATTTTAATAGCTTCCATATTTTACCCCAATTCATAGTTTTCAATCCAGTTGAAATGGTTTAGATTGTAGATTTTGTTGGATTAAATTGGATGGAGTCATCGAATTTTGGGTCACCGTTTTCCTTGAACACTTACTTTTTTTTTCTATACATTCCTAACTGTCACACGCTTTCTTAAAAAAAAAAAAAAAGTTATTTCGATGACTCCATCCATATTATTTCATTCATATTATCACAATATTTTATCACTCATTTCACTCAAACATGTCTTCCATTCTTAATTTTTTTTTTATTTGTTGTAATGATCTTACTTTCAACATAAGACCGAACAATTACTATATACGTGTTACGAGAATTTCTCAAATAAATTCAAACATAAATATCTCTACTTTAAAGCTTTTATTTATAAAACAATTCAAAACATAACATTATAGAATTCGTGAAATGTAACGTAAATATGGAATAAAAAATATTTAGATCATTGTTTTATGGCTTCCCAAGAGAAGTTGTTACTAGAAGTTTATTGTCTCTTAAGTGTAGAATATATTATAAAAAATAACTATTTAAAAATATTCGCTATCAAGATATAAATATATTTGGTATGAATTTTTTTTTTTTAGAGTTGGTTGGTAATATATTTTATTTTATTTTCGTCGTTTAATAATTTATCTTATTTTCAAAATTTATTTAGTAATATATTTTACGTATGGTTGCGTTGCTCACCTCAATATCGACAAATTAAAATATTAAAGAAAGAAAAAAAATATATTATTTTCAAAATAATACAGATTAAAAAAACTGTTAAAATAAAAAATAAAAAATAAAAATGATGATATTAAAAGATATTGGCATCTGATGAATAAGAGAGAAGAAGGAAAGAAAAGGTTAAAGAAAAAACGAAACTCCTAAACCTTTCTCATCTTCCTCCCCCTGTCTTGCTTAGCCGCCGGCCTCCTCCTCCTTAAACCCATCGCTACAATTTGTTGATTCGAGCTTTTTGTCAGATAATCATGGCCACCAATGCAAGTGCCGATGATCAGTCTCACAAGGCTCACAGGTCTCGCCAATCTGGTCCCAATGCAAAGAAGAAAGCACAGCACAAGAAGAAGGGGGAGGTTTCTGAGAATGACAGGAAGCACAACCCGAAGGTAGGTACTTTAATTGTTTCTTGTATTGTAATCAGTCCATGCCCCCGACTACATTTGAACAAAACTCTTGTTTTTCTTTTCTAGGCTTTTGCTTTTAATTCTTCAGTTAAAGCTAAGCGCCTGCAATCTCGTTCTGTCGAGAAAGAACAACGTAGGCTTCATGTTCCCACAATCGATCGTTGTTATGGTGAACCAGCTCCCTATGTTATTGTTGTCCAGGGACCTCCCCAGGTCTGAATTTATTACTTTCTATATTTTTATCACTTGCATCTCTTTTCATTCTTCTTCTTTTAATTGTTGTTACTTACTGTAGGTTGGAAAATCTCTTCTAATAAAGTCTCTTGTTAAGCATTATACCAAACATAATTTACCTGATGTTCGTGGGCCGATTACAATTGTGTCAGGTTCACTCTATTGCCGATTATTATTTAATTTTCATTCTTGTTTCGTACACAAACACATTCTTTCAGTGTTTTGGCTATTTTATTTGGGGATTTGTATTCTCAATGTGTGTGTTTTTCAGGTAAACAAAGGCGGTTGCAGTTTGTAGAGTGCCCAAATGATATCAATGGGATGATTGACGCAGCGAAGTTTGCTGATTTGACTTTGCTTCTAATTGATGGTAGTTACGGTTTTGAGATGGTGAGATACCATGATTCCACTTATTTGAAGATCATAATGAAATTTGTTATGTTAATTTAAATATCTTACCTACATCACAGGAGACTTTTGAGTTCCTCAACATTTTGCATAATCACGGACTTCCAAAAGTTATGGGAGTTCTCACTCACCTTGATAAGTTTAAGGATGCAAAAAAGTTGAGGAAAACAAAGCAGCATCTTAAACATCGCTTTTGGACTGAGATACGTACAGGAGCTAAATTATTTTATCTATCTGGGCTTATTCATGGAAAGTAAGGATCTTCTTCTTCACTCCTATCTTCAAACATTCATTTTTGTTACATTTCATCATTTAATGTTTGCAATAGGTTGATATGTGATTTTATGTACTCAATTTTCTCTCATCGACAGGTACACTAAACGTGAAGTACACAATCTTGCTCGGTTCATCTCTGTGATGAAGTTTCAGCCACTGTCTTGGCGTACCAACCATCCATATGTTTTGTCTGATCGATTTGAAGATGTCACTCCACCTGAACGAGTTCATATGAATAATAAATGTGATAGAAATATCACTCTATATGGTTATCTTCGAGGTTGTAATTTGAAGAAGGAAACTAAGGTACCACTTCTCTGGTTGATGGGTTTGCCTTTCTATAGGCTTTATTATCTGTTTATATTATTGTTTACAACATTGTTTTTACATTTCCTTATTTTCAATGCCTAAATCAGGTTCACATCTCTGGCGTGGGTGATTTTAATTTGGCTAATGTAACCAGTTTGGCTGATCCTTGTCCTTTGCCATCTGCTGCCAAGAAGAAAGGACTACGTGATAAGGAAAAATTATTTTATGCTCCTATGTCTGGTCTTGGGGATCTTTTGTACGATAAGGATGCTGTTTATATAAATATTAATGACCATTTCGTTCAGTATTCCCAAGTTGATGATGATAAAGAAGTTCCTTCAACCAAAGGTAATTGGCTTCCATTCTCTGCATATTAGCAGTCATCCGTCACTTATTCTGAAGTAACGCTTATGCTATAATCAGGTAAAGTTCAAGACGTGGGTGAAGTTCTAGTGAAGTCTCTCCAGAACACAAAATATTCAGTTGATGAAAAGTTAGAGAAGAGCTTCATTTCCCTATTTGGCAGAAAACCTGACAACTTAAATGGGATCCATGGTATTGAGCCGGCAGAGCAATGCCAGCCTGGGTTGATGGAGCTTGATAGACCTAGTGTAGTACATGATACCGATGATTCCGAGTCTTCAGATCAAGATGACCTTACCCCGAAAAAGACTAAATATGAAAGTGAGGGCACTGATGAAGAAGAGCATAATGATTTAAAAAATCAGAAATCCCCTGATGAAGACCATATGAAGGAACATGTTGAATTTCATGAAGGGAGGCTAAGGAGAAAAGCTGTTTTTGGAAATGATGTTGACTCTGATGATCTCATGGTAATGTGACTGACTTAATTTTGTAAATGATGCGGCTGTTCATTTATATTTTGTATGCACAATCCAATTTATGTTAACTTTGCAGGCAATGTGCCCAAAAAGAACGTTGTTAGCGCCCTTATATTTTCTTTTATATCTCTGTAGGATTCAGATGAAGAAGATGACAATGACAGTGATGTTGACGGTCAAAAAATGATGTCAGAAGATGATGAAAATGAAAATGAAGATGAGGATGAGGATGAGGATGGGGATGATAATGACGAGGACAATGGTATTTTCCTTGTAAATCTGTTGTATGCAAATGTTTTTTTTGTTCCATTGATAATTTGGCCACCTTATTACTCTATTTGTAGATAGTGGCATGGGTAACTCCTCAAAGTGGAAGGAGTCTTTGTTAGAAAGGACCGTGTCTAGGCAACACGTGAATCTCATGAAACATGTGTATGGGAAATCCACACAAACATCTACAACCTCAAGGGATGAAGGTGATGATGAAGAAAGTGACGAGGACCACTTTTTTAGGCCTAAAGGGGAGGGAAATAAGGTTTACTCTTTGCCCTAATTTTTTAAAAATAGTATTCCCTTTTTTTAGATTTCTTGTTTTCGATTGTTGGTTTTCCAATTGTGCGAATAGTGGTTACTTTCTTAACGTTTTAATATATTGTTGATGGCAGAATGAAAGTAAAGCAGTGGATGGTGCAAATGCCAGTTCTGAGGATTATTCCAAATTTACAAACTTTTTCAATGATAATAATGTGGAGAGCATTCGTGACCGCTTTGTAACTGGTGATTGGTCAAAAGCTGCTCTCAGAAATAAATCTTCTCAGGATGAAGTTGAAGAAGATGATGATGATGTGTATGCTGATTTTGAAGATCTAGAAACTGGTGAGAAGTATGAGAGTTTTCATGCTGATAAAACTACCGATGCCATGGACCAAAAGGCAGAGTACTCAACAATCGAGGAGCGCAGGCTGAAAAAGCTTGCCCTTCGGGCACAGTTCGATGCTGAATATCCTTTTGATGATCTTGATTATACTTGTTTTTTCCACCTTCTTTTATTTATCTGAATTCTATTTTTTAAGAATTTGTTAGAGACTTAACTCTGACCTACATATGCTGGATCTAAGGCAACGGAGGATGGAAGTGATATAGAAGGTGAGGGAAAGTTAAACCATAGTGAAGCTAATGAAGGTGATGATTATCATGACAAGGTAAACATTCTCCCTTTTTTTTTTTTAAAAGGTAGGTAGTTTTTGCATGACACTGAGCACTGCTTCATGTTTGATTGTTTCAGATGAAGGAGGAAATTGAAATTAGGAAACAAAGGAATAAAGCTGAACTTGATAATATCGATGAAGCCTTCCGAGTGGGGATTGAGGGCTTCCAATCAGGGACATACGTAAGATTGGAAGTTCATGGTGTTCCTTGTGAGATGGTGGAGCATTTTGATCCTTGCCAGCCAATTTTGGTTGGAGGAATTGGGCCTGGAGAGGATGACGTTGGATACATGCAGGTAATATTTTAACAGATCTTTTTTTTTTTTATTAACTTGATTATTTTGCCTTTTTTTTTTTTTTTTTTTTTTTTCTTGTGTCATTCTGAGAAGTTATCGATTGCATGTATCTCACCTTACTAAGTTTCCGATAATGTAATTAAACCATAACACCAGAAGGGGTCATGAACCTGATATAAAGAGATATATCTGAAGCTCTTGTCCGATGTCCTTCATTGCTTGATTAAAGCTTTATTTCCTTTTGGAAAAGTTATTCAAGTTTCTTCTTTCACCGAGTTATGTTGCAATAATATGTTTGCAGGTCAGATTAAAACGACATAGGTGGCATAAAAAGGTACTGAAGACTAGAGATCCCTTAATTTTTTCTGTTGGATGGAGACGTTTCCAAAGTACCCCTGTTTATGCAATTGAAGATTCAAATGGGAGGCACCGCATGCTTAAATATACACCTGAACATATGCACTGTCTAGCAATATTTTGGGGCCCTCTAGCCCCTCCTAACACAGGGCTTATTGCTGTTCAGACTTTATCAAGCAATCAGGTATACTTTTTTATTATAAATGAGATATCATGTCTTCCCTAACATCTTTGATGACAAATAGTGTGTGCAGTTCAAACTTTTATTGTCTCTTGAAATAGGGTTCCTCCCAATATTGCAGCATCAGCGATGATGGTTGCTTGAATATTTTATTATTCCGTACAAATTCTAATTGTACTTTCATTGAGGATTTTGAAAGTGCATAAATATACCATCTGAAGTGTTCAATTTACATACCATCTGAAGTGTTCAATTTGGCATAAAGCGAAAGACTGCAAGAATGAATGCCAAGTCTTCATAGCTAGCTTTTATCTTTTGCTATTTGTATTCTAGATGAGGCTCTTTTTTGTGAATTTAGTTTTCTTCTTCATTTGAGAATGTCTTATCCTCTGGAGTCGTCACGAATCTCACTGCATTTTAATTCATCTTTTATGTACATATTCTTGTATGACATGAATATTTGATTAATTTTTTTTTCCCATAAGCATAAGGTTTGTCTTGTGCCATTTCGGCTGTTTGCATTATAGATTAATATTTGATGCCAACTTTACTTTGAAGTTTTTATTGCCATCTTTTGTTGGCCTTTTCTAGCTTTTTATTGACCTTTTGTATGGCTTCTCAGGCATCGTTCAGAATATGTGCAACAGCAACTGTGCTCCAATCCAATCATGAAGAGCGGGTGGTCAAGAAAATCAAGCTAGTTGGTTATCCATGCAAAATTTTTAAGAAGACAGCACTTATAAGAGATATGTTTACTTCAGATCTTGAAATAGCTCGTTTTGAAGGTGCATCTGTTCGAACTGTCAGTGGAATTCGAGGCCAGGTCAAAAAGGTATGTCTGTTTGAAATAGAGAGAACATTTTGCATGCTATTTTTTCTACTCTCCCATAGAGAGTTTCTTCTTTTTCTTTTTCGTTTTGTTGTAATGCTTACTACAGGAAATTCTTATGTACCTCACTCGTACTTGTCCTGACCCCTATATTTTTTCCAATTATATATTCTCTTATAGTCTGCTTGCTAATGTGCAACTGCTGAACCGTGATCTGGCTTCTGTTTATACAGTGTGAATTATTGGTTCTTATGATGACTTTTCATGATATATAGAACCGTGATCTACCTTGTATTTTCCATCATTTTTTTCCAATGAAAGCTTAGTTTCTAGATAAACAAAAAATGATATATAAAAGTTATTTACTGAGGAATGAAACTTAAGCCTGGCTTGCTTGCTTGCTGATCTGTTAACCAAATAAACATGGCAATAGGAGCAGTTTGTTGTGTAAGATCTTTAATGTGGCTTGAATAAATGTTGCTGGCCAATGGTCGATTTGGACTACACTAGTTGCGAAAGTATGAAACCATCAAACATGGGACGAGGATTTTGATAAATCTTTTTTCTCGGGGGTGTTTCCAGGAAATGTGTAATGAAAGCAATAAAAGAACAAATAGAAGATTTATTTATCAATTTAT